ACATGTTCTTCACACAAAAATTTAGATTTCCTCGTTTTTTTTCTATTTTTTTCAATTTACTTTCACCTGGGTGCATGTGAGCTAGGGAGCCAACCCAGCTCAATTTTATAACTTCAGAATGATCAAAGTTAATAGCTGAAACCTGGCCGAAAATAGGATAGTAGTCAAGTGAACCAGTTAAAATAAATACATTCCTTTATTAGTAATGAAATATTGTTAAAAATTAATGATATACACTTAAAAAGTGGTTATAAAGATTAGTCAAAACACAAGACACAAATCAACAGTAACTTGGATTTGCTGGTATATTAACTCCCGACCCTATGCAGCTATACAGGTCAATTATTTAGAAGCACAACAAGGCGTTCTTAGATGTGGGAATCAGTAACCAGTAGTGGGAACATGTACATTCATAGGATGCCAAGTGCTATATTCTCATCTAATGTCCATGACTGTGATGTATTAGCAATATAAAATAACAGTTCTCTCCCAACAGCTTGTTCAGTAAGAGGGCCATTGAAAATGATTGCACAACAATATACCTCAGAACACAATCTTGATGCAGCAACATAGTTCTTCCCCCTAACAGCTTTTGCACTGCTTGATTTCAGTGGAGCTTTGCTATCACTGTCACTTTTCTTAACCTAAATCATTAAACAAAACTTATATTAAGATGCTGCAAAACTGTACCAAGGCAGAATAACCTGTCTTATTTCTCCTATTAATAGAAACAGCTGATGACATATTAACTGTACAGAACTAAGATGACATTCTAACACAAGGATACTAATTACTTCTGTACATTACCCACTCTTAATATGCAGAGTAAATTTCCCAGTTCTCGATGAAATGATTCCAAATGTCCCCCATTTATCAGAAAGGTGTGGCTACTTTGATGGATGGATCAAATCTCATATCTAGCTTTCCATCCTATAGTTATGTCCCAAAAATGGAAGGATCTAGGAAACTATCTATCTAGCTTTCTGACTATTATTTTTGAAAGCGGATCAAAGTGCTCTATCTATTCATCAAAGAGATGAGTAGAGTTTGATTATTGCGTCTTCTTGTATAGACTTGTCGCCAACCATCCAAATTCTGGCAACCAGAGACACCTGATAGGCTGATACCAGTTTATACTTTATACCAAAAGAAAAACGAACACATAAATTAATGTCCCCATTTGTCACTCCTACATCGGAAACTCCCAGCTGACAGTTTCTTGTTTGCAATAACCCTTCACTATTGTTTTCCATCACTTCAATGTCCATATGTGTGTGTGAGAGGGGTTTCCCAAGCAGGTCAGTGTATGGAGGATACAAAAAAGGAAAATACAGGGGCTGTGAGTGCAAAAAAATGACACGAGAAGATTTTTGCAAAAATCAAAGATATATAATTTATGCAATCTCCTCTATAACATAATGTCATGACAGACAACTAGTGTGAGCAAAAGCAAACAGTTCTTGGGCTTGTGATATGTCTGGATCCAAAATTTCGCATGGAACTAGTAAAAACGTAACATCATTGGGCGCCTACAATTCTAACACTAAGCTAAACATGAAATTGCAAATATTAAAAAGTGAAGTCATGAATGATACAATGGAACAGCAACAGATCTAAGCAATAGGATCATTACGTCCAGATGACCTCCGTGCTGGAAATCGTGAGCACCTACTTTTTGGATAGGACTACTGGGGCTTCTAAACTGATTTTCTCTCCATGATTTTGTCTCAACGTCACTGAACCTCACATATTGAATACTACGATATGCACTGAAGGAGCAGTAAACAAGAAATATGATTTGAGTGCACTCCAAGATTTCCATGAGACATCACATAATATTCATCACCAGGACAAGTTTATGCAACAAGTGCCAGAGATAACAACAATGGTGTTAGAGCATCAAGTATCAAGGTTTAAGAACAAACATACATTAGAAAAATAATTCACCTGGTTAGCTGGAACATTGATATTGGCGCCAACCTCCAACAAGTATTTAAAGCATGTGGTTAAACCATTGTTAGTTGCTATTGCCAATGGAGTTTCAGGAATTGTACAATTGACATCCGCGCCAGCCTGTGGGTGAACAGATATAACATAAAACACGTGGAGAATATGAAAAAGTATCTTCCGACATGAGATTCCATCAAGCAACCAAAATGTGCAGAATGTGAATTGCACACACACACCTTGACAAGAAGTTTCACGCACTCTAAGCAAGTGGACTCATTCATTCTGTCAGGAGTAGCATAGAGTGCTGTGGTCAGGGGTGTACCAAAGTCCCATGAGACTTTGTTCAGCTGCAATTTTATTTTGAAAAAATACAAGTCACTTCCCAGGTCCCATATATGTTGAACAAATAGGATTCTAGGGATTGTATACGCATCAAAACTTGAGCTATGCAGAAAAAGAAGTAAGCTCAAGTGGAAGAACATCAATTTACTAATTACATCTGCATGGTGCTCCAGCAAAATCTTCATAGCATTGAACTTCCCATGGGCTGCAGCGGCAACTAGAGGTGTCCCATGAGGAGAAGGTGCCTCAACATTAGCTCCTTTCGGTAGCAGCAGTCGTGTAATTTCATCACAGCCTAGCAAGAAAGGAGGCGTCCACACCGTTTAAATAGTTATATCCTATCAGTATTCACAACATGTTGACAAGAAGGTTTTCAATTGCTGGACAAATTCATTTTGGGACTTTTTTTCTAAAGAAGTCATGTAGTGGAACCATCACTTCTGTATTATCACTCCCGGGCTGCATCCCAATCATAAAAGTTGGGACGGTCAACCTCATAACACAATCGGACAGCAACTCAACAGAGAAATATGACATCATATATATGCAACAAACTTTTACAGAGCAGAATGTGAAGAAATAGACACCTGTTGCTACTGCTTCATGCAGAGGAGTCGTGCCGGTGGAGGAACTTTTTGTGTTGGGATTAGCACCTTTTTCAAGAAAATACCTCGCAGCAGTCATTTCCCCATGCGCCACCGCGAAAGACAAGGGTGTCGAACCTGCCAAGAGAATTACAATCAAGCAATTTTAGTCAAATAGCAACCGGTTGGGCCTAAGAAATCTACTGCCATTGTCTGCACTTCCTCAGCATCATATCACAAGCAATACTGAAGACTGAAATCTCAGACACACACATTTGCAGGTGCATATAAACAAAATGGTATAATTAATACTGCATTCACAAGCATGTTTAGAAGGAAATCTTATAGTCATCAGGTCTCGCTATCATAATCTAATATTATGCAACAAAAATATATGAAGCGAAGTAATAAACTGAACAGTAAGATTTTTTTTTTCTTCTGAATTTTGAACAGTAAGAATTTAATTAACTGGCCCTAGCACGAGCAGATGGACGGAGCATGAGAGATGAACAAATAAGGAAATTCCTAATGCCAATAATTCACATTCCATCTACGAATTGCATCGTATGGTATTAAGTAGCAGTAGCTTGGTTCCCAGAAACAAGAACTGGAAAGAAACATTGGAGCATTTGATTTAGTATTTCAGAGAGGCGTGCGTACGTACCAGAGCTAGCATCCGAGTCGACATCAAATCCAAGCTGCTCCACCAGGTACCTGCAGATGGCCATATCACCCGCGCCTGCTGCGGAATGCAACGCCCCACAGCCCTCGACCCTCACAGATGCAAGCGACTCCCTGTCATCCTTGTCCATGCCATTTACCAAGGCTTCAGGGCGACCCAGATTTCAACAGAACCACGTTAACTAAGGCACATCCTCATACATGATCCAATTTCCGACAAGAATGTTGCATGAAACAAGATCAAGACGCTCAGTAAACGGATGGTGAAATGTACAGAAAACAACCCCCACAAGAGGAAAATCAATCAACTAAAGCGAGCAGGCCATCACATAGCACATAGCAGCACCATCAACTTACATATCATATACTGCAACTGTAAGTAGCAACCAACCACGGCTAAAACCCTATCCAGAACAACGCCATCACGGAGGAGGATCGTACCCTTGGCCCGGCGCAGGTCGCCTTGCGAGCACGCGAGGAGGAACTGCATCTGCGGCGACCAGCCGCCGGTACCTGGGCGCGCGACGAGCAGGAAATTAAACCAGGAACGCACGCCGCCGTCAGGGAGATGGAGGATCGCGGAGCGGATCTCGCCCGAAATGGCGGCGCGAAACGGGACAGAGAGAGGGGGGTCGGTCGCGGCGCGCGGCACGTACCGACGTCGGTGACCTCGAACCCGTGGAGGGCGAGCGCCGCCGCGGCTCGCTGGACGTCCCTCGCGCTCGCCGCCGGCGCGGGCCCCCTCGCCCCTCCCCCTGCGCCGCGGCGGCTCTTCCCCTTCCCCATGGCGAGAGGCGGGAGCGAGCTCGAGAAGGGTCTGGAAGCGGGCGGAGGGTCGGGTTTAGGGGTGGGCGGTGGTGGCTTCGGTGGGAAGGAGCGGAAGAAGGGCGAGGGAAATGGGAGAGAGAAGCCCGCGACGCGGTGGATCGGTCGACGCGTGTCTCCACGGACGGTGGGGATGTGATGGGACGGGGTGCGGCACGTTTGGCCGTGCGGAATGAGGGGGTCGTGCGCGCCGTTGACTGCGGCTGACCTTTCTCCATCCATAGGAAAGGTGATGATACGGACCACCAAGCGTGCCATCACTGTACGTTAAGTCAACATCAACGCGCATTTGGGTCCACCACGTACGAAACGTTAAGCGGCGACTGAAGGGCGATCGCGAGGCGATCTCCTAGACGGCGCTAGGGTTAGGGTTTTGGTAACGGGGGTGGTGAGTTTACGGTGGTGCCTGGGGCGGCGACTGCGTCTCCCTCGGCGCGGACTGGTGTAGCCTTCCTCCTTCAAGGTGCGAGCCATGGCGGAGAAGGCGAAGGGGCGCCTTGCGGCGAGCCTGGCGACAAAGGCAAACCCGGCGGCGACAGCGACCCCGGGCAAAGCTACGAGCGGGGGCTCTTCTAGCTCCCCGATCACATGTAAAACGCCGGATCCGACCGCGAGCCTCTCAGCTAGGATGGGAGGGATGGTGTTGTTGGACAAGGAGGCGGAGGGTTTCGTCTTTGAGGAACCAGATCAGATCTTGCCCAAGAACATGAAGTGGTCTGCGGTGGGGAAGGCGTTCTCTCCGCGACCGCTTAACAGGACTGTGCTAGAGAAAATGATGCAGAGGGCTTGGGGTCTTCACCACGAGGCTCGGTTCTGGGACATGGGCGACAACGTCTTCGTCGTGCACTTTGGTAGTGAAGGGGATTGGAGGCATGCAATGAATAATGGCCCTTGGCAATATGATTTCAATGTCCTGGCCTTGAAGGAGTATGAGAGCAATGTCAGGCCATCGGAGATGGTCTTTGATCGGATAGATGTGTGGGTAAAAGTTGCTGATCTACCACCGGGCAAGAGGACGGAGGCGTTCGGCAAGGCTTTGGGCAATTGGCTAGGGGAAGTCGTGAAGGTGGATGTTGACAAGGACGGCATGGCTCGAGGAAACCAGCTGCGTGTCAGAGCACGGATCATGCTTCTGGAGCCTCTCGTGCGTGGCTTCCTCCTCAAAAAGTCTCAAGAGGACAAAGTGGGTACTTGGTACGATTTTCACTATGAAAAAATCCCCCATTTCTGCTTTGAGTGCGGGCGCATGAAAACGGGCGTTGTGTGCCTCTGGTTGACAAAGCAGCGCAATGGGGGGCTGGTTAAGAGCATCACCGGGGAGGAGCACTGGCTCCAAGGTGGAGGCTAAAGGAGGAAAAAACAATAATGCCAGTACTAGCAGTTTTATGAGTTCACAATCTGATGGCAACAATAGGGAGCAGGACAGCCATGCTCGCGCTCGTAATGTTCCAGTGAAGCGCAGTCTGAATGCGCAATTTGATCATCCCGGGGATGCCCGCACTGGTGGGCAGAACCGGCGAGAGAAGGGGGAAGTTATCTCCCCAAATAAGGAGAAGTTTAGGGGCGGCTGGCCAGAAGAGAGGGATCTGAGACATGAGATCGAGAGAAAGAAGGAAAGGGACCTCAGGGAACAGCTCAAGGCACAACAATGGCAAAGGGAGTATGAGCGCAAGCAATATGAGGAGAGGAGCTATCGGGAGAGGGGGTCCTCGAGCAGAGGTGGCGAGAACAGACAGGGATACCATGCTGCGTACCCACACGAAAGGAAGAAGGGGTACTATGTCTGGAAACCTCGTCAAGATTTTGATGACAGAAGGAGGAGGGGGGACAGCCCACAAGGCACACCTAGCTCAAGGAAAAGAAGCCCGCGCCAGATGTGGGTGCCAAAAGCAGATGGGGATAGGCATGAGGGAGATGAATTTTTTGTCAGTGATACTAGACAGAAGACATCCTCGGTGTTTGATCGGATTGAAGAGACAGACAAGGAAATGGCGGACCCTGCCACGGGGCGGGGCCGCTGAGAGCTATGATCATCTTGGCTTGGAACTGCCGAGGCTTGGGGTTGGACTCGGCGGTTGGCAAACTACGGGACCTGATTAGGTCATACAACCCAGAGGTGGTATTTTTATCAGAAACAAAAAAGAGAGCGGGAGCAATGGAGCGACTCAAGTGGAGTTTGGGGTTCACAAAAGGGGTGGCGGTGGACTGCAAAGGCAAAATCGGAGGATTGGCACTATGGTGGAGGGACCATCTTGAGGTCACAGTTAAGCCGTGGTGCCAATACTACATATATGCTACGATCGTGTCTGATGGTGCCTCCTTTAGATTCACTGGAATCTATGGAGAGCCTTGTGTGGATAAAAGAGCAAGGACGTGGGATGCACTACGATTCCTTCGCACCCAGGATAACCTGCCATGGCTTTGCGCAGGTGATTTCAATGAGGCCCGACGGCAAGACGAGCAACTTGGTGGGAACCAGCGAAACATAGGTCAGATGGAACTATTTGATGACTGCCTGACCGACTGCGGTTTGGCCGACCTCGGCTTCTCGGGATACATGTTTACTTGGGATAATAAGAGGGAGGGTGCAGAGAATATACAAGTGCGGCTGGACCGGGCGACGAGTAATGCGGAATTTGCTCAGCTATTTCCGGCAACTGAAGTGCTGCATGTGATGACCGAGGAATCAGACCATCAGGCACTTGTTATAAAAGCATTGAAAGTAAGCGGTGACAAAGGCGTGCGCAGGCTGCGACCTTTTATGTACGAGGCTGCGTGGGCGCGTCACGAGCAGTATGAAACAATGGTGGCGGCTGCATGGGGGGAAGCACATGCAGCCAATCAGAGAGGAGGCCGGCTTGCGACGACATGCAATAGCCTGCGAGCGGCCACGAAATACATGCAGGAGTGGAGCCGAAGGGTTTTTGGGTCTATCAGGAGGCAGATTGGGCATCTCAAAGGGCAATTAATCGACGCAAAAGAGAGGGCGACAAGGACAGGCTACAGATAGGAGATCAAGGAGATCGAGGATCAGTTACATGAGATGTATGAGAGAGAGGAGGTGTTTTACAAACAACGTTCGCGCGTCGACTGGTTGCAGGAAGGCGACCAGAACACAAAATACTTTCAAAATCGTGCCTCACACCGCAAACGGAAGAACACAGTTAAGGCACTTAGGCGAGAGGATGGGTCGAAGTGCACGGATGATGAAGGGATGAGGAGGATGGCGGCGCAGTTCTATGCACACTTATTTGCTTCTGAGGGCTCGAGGGATGGCCACAAAGTCCTGCAACATATAGAGGAATCGGTAACGGAGGCGATGAATGCAAAACTCGATGCTCCTTTCACTGATACGGAGATTGAGGTCGCTCTTTTTCAGATGGGGCCTACGAAGGCGCCGGGACCGGACGGCCTCCCGGCCATGTTCTACCAACGCCACTGGGCGCTTGTTAAGGACGATGTGTGTGCCGCGGTGCGTGAATTCCTAGCTGGCACAGCGGCTCCCGATGGTTTTAACGACACGATACTTGTAATGATCCCGAAAATAAACTCACCTGAGTTAATGGCGCAGTTCCGTCCTATCGGCTTATGTAATGTCCTCTATAAGATTGTGGCGAAGGCACTGGCCAATCGCTTGAAGGCTGTCCTACCTTTCATGATCTCAGAGGAGAAGAGTGCGTTTGTGCCAGGCAGACTTATAACTGACAATGTGCTCGTGGCCTATGAATGTGTCCATGCTATTAGGAAGAGGAAACGGAGGAAACCTATATGCGCGGTCAAGTTGGACATGATGAAGGCGTACGACAGAGTTGAGTGGGACTTTCTTGAACAGATGTTGTTAAAATTTGGCTTCTCCGGTCACTGGACAGAGATGGTCATGAGATGTGTGAAATCTACAAAATTCAGGGTGAAACTTAATGGTGGGTTCTCTGAGAGCTTTGATCCCACCAGAGGCCTTCAACAGGGGGATCCGCTTTCCCCATATCTTTTTTTGTTCTGTGTGGAGGGCTTCTCTGCTTTATTGAAGGAGGCTGGAAATATCAAGGGGGTGTCGTTTGGAGGAGGCGGACCAACGGTCACCCACCTTCTGTTAGCTGACGACGGCGTGGTTTTTGTGGAGGGTTCAAGGGCAAACTTTGAGACTCTTCGCTCTATTTTAAGTGACTATGAAGCTGCATCCGGGCAGAAAGTCAATCTCCATAAATCAGCTATCTTTTTTGGTAGAGACACCCCGGATGACGACAAAAATGAGCTCAAACAAGTGATAGGAGTAACGGAGGAGGCTCTGAGTGAACGTTATTTAGGTCTCCCTACGGTGGTGGGGAGATCTAAGGATAGTACTTTTAAGTACGTCACGAATAGTGCTAAGGGCAAAGTATCGGGGTGGAAGGGTCAAGGCTTATCAAAAATGGCAAGGGAGGTTTTAGTCAAATCCGGATTGCAATCCACACCAACTTTTACCATGAGCTATTTTCAACTCACCAAGAAAATGTGCGGGAACCTGTCATCTATTGCTTCAAACTTCTGGTGGGGTGAAACGGATGGTCATAAGAAGGCGCACTGGATTGGTTGGGATAAAATGTGCACGCGCAAGCATGAAGGAGGGCTGGGATTTCGGGATCCGACAGCCTTTAATCAAGCGATGCTTGCCAAAGCAGCATGGCGATTGCTTCAAGTTCCAAACTCGTTGTGTGGCCGAGTGCTGAAGGCGAGGTACTTTCCTGAAGGGTAGATCCTTAATGCAACTGTAGGGTTTCGTAGTAATTTCAAAAATTTTCCTACGCACACACAGGATCATGTGATGCATAGCAACGAGGGGAGAGTATTGTCTACGTACCCAACGCAGACCGACTGCGGAAGCGATGACACGACGTAGAGGAAGTAGTCGTACGTCTTCACGATCCAACCGATCAAGTACCGAAACTACGGCACCTCCGAGTTCGACCACACGTTCAACTCGA